CTACGCTCAAAAGAAAAATTGTGTCACTTGTTTGCAAAGTACCTCATGGAAGAATCTAGTCAAAATATTTGATATTACCTGTGTTGCAGTTAGCTCCACCAGCATATTTTGCCCCCAAATTCTGGCTAATATCAATGGTAACTAAAATAAATATACCTGGCATGCAATATCTGAAGATTAATTTCCTGAGCAAAATTCTGAAAATTTGAGTAGGATTCTGATCAGGAGACTGGTCTGTGTAAATATGAAGGGAAGAAAAGAGTGAGAAGAGAGGAAAAGAGCAATTATAATTTATAATCTTGTTGGTACTAAGTGTCCAGGATCTTCTAGTCCCCCATTCTTTCCGGTGGAATTATGAAAAGGCAAATAGCAGAAGTTTTTTGGCTAGTAGTTAAGACAATCCAGTGGGCTGAGTTACTGATGGTGAAAAGATTCACTTATTTTTTATTGGGTACCGATCATCTTTCATTTTGGCTTGGTCATCTATGCGAAAATGTTAATTTTCTTCAAGTCCAAATCTTAGGCCTCTGTCAAGATTCTTGGTTCTGGGCAATATATTCTAGCTGTTTTCTATGGGAAAATAGGGAAAAATATAATAAATGTAACAAATCTAAGTCTCTATTTAAATATAGCCATAAGAGCAGCTATTTCATTTATTTACAGAATGGTTGAACATATTAAATGGTTTAATTATACAAAGTAGTTGGAAAAGTGCAAGGCACAGAGTGCTCAAGAATTTGGTTAGCGTGATTTTTGTGTTTGTCATTTCCCTTGGGCTTTCTCCCTGGTTCTTTCAACCACTGCATTTTTGAGACTATGTTTCAAGTGAGAGCTAACAGCTCTTTCTTATAACCTGTATGTTAGAAATCTCAGGGCTCTGATGTGTTGAGAAAAATGACTTCAGACAACCACGGATGAAAAAAATCTTAAGGGCTATGTGTTATGAATTCAGGGCTAGAGGCATCTGGCTAGAACTTACTTCTTTGGTGGCCTCATGTAGTCTCATCGATATGCTTAGGAACTCTCAAATTCGTATCTCCAGCCCCTACCACATTCCTTCAGACTCATATGTCAACTACCTACGCGTCGCCTCCATTTAGATGGTTAGTAGACATTGCACACTCAGACTTAACATGAGCAAACTCTTGATACTATCCTTAGTCTTCCATACTAGCTCTCTCCTTTGGATTAGGCCAAAAAGCTCAAAGGCATCTTTGACACCTCTTTTTCTCTCCTGCCCAGTTTCTGCTCCTTCAGGGCATTATGTCAGCTCAACATTCAAAACATTTCCAGAGTCTGACCTTTTCTTAGTCCTCTATTGCTACCATCACTTTCATCTCTTGCTTTCATTTCTCTAGGAGCCACTTATTTTTACCCTTGCCTCCTTATATTATAACAGCCAGAGTAGTCTTTTTATAATGTGAATCTGATCATTTTGCTCTTCTGCTAAAAACTCCAATGGCTTCCCATTTCATGAGATGCAGAAGCTCTTCCAGTGGTCTACAAAGCCCTCCATGATCTACAAGGCTCTCCTCTCTGACCTACTCTTCCCCCATGCTTCCCCTCACTCTGATCCAACCACACTGGCCTTCCTGTTTGTTGTAAATAAAGTTTTATTGAAACACATCACATTTATTCACTTACGTATTACTATGGCTGTTTTCTTGCTACCTCAGCAGAGCAGAGTAGCTGTGACTGAGACCCTATGGCCCATAAAACTTAAGCTATATACCATCTGGTCTCTAGAGGGAAAAAAAAGTTTGCCAGGCCCTGTTTTACAAAAATGGCTGTGGCTACATTTCACTAAGTTTGGTCTTGAGAAAGCAGAAACTGCTGAGTATCCTCCACACTCCATTCAGTGCTCAGCTTCCCAGCTCTTTTTGATGCGTGTGAAGGAATCGAAGCCAGGCTTCCACCAGGGGTCTAATGAGGCAGAGGGGACAACCAATGAGCAGCAACTTCTCATTGCCTAGGGTCATCTCTGAATGAGAAATTAGAGAAAAGTAGGTGACTGATGGGAAGAACATCTAGGCAACAGAGAGAGATGAAGCAAGACAAAACTCTACTCCCCGCAACAGTGCTCAAGGATCTTTCTACATTTGTGCTTCTAAAGGACAGAGTTCTGCCTGCTAGTATTTAGTGAATTGAATTTCATCCTTAGAGACAGGCACAATGCTTCCATTGACTTCCATGGGAGTCATGGGCCATTTGGTTCCACAGACATCTGTGCTGGTTTCAGGCTATTTAACAAACTCCTAAACAAATCCCAACAAAGTGCTCTTTAGCGGATACTTAATTCTGGTGTAAGGGTGGGAGCTGAGCACACCTAAGTCCTTTCCTTTCCTTCAGGTTTACTCTTTTCTCCTTTTTATGGCTTACTAATTACTGCAACCAAAACCCTGAGTCAAGCAATATTAAATCTACTCAAAGTCAAAGATGTCACTTTTATCGATCTCAGTTGACCTGTTTACTCTCTGGGCTCCAATTTAATGGCTCAATTGATTATTCATTTACATTTTTAATGTCTTCATGGGCAAAATCATTTTAACATGAATTATCTCTAACTTAATGGGCAACATGCAGTCTCATTTTGGATTTTCAATTTCAGCAAGTATTTATTGAGCTCAGGAGAACTTAACAGGGATAAAGTGGGGATTTCAGTTTCTTGTAAAAGAAGATAGAAATGATAGTATGATTTTTCTCCTGTGAAGAATGGCCATCACTTATAAGTGCTCACATGAAATCAGATGGTGATTAGGATATCAACTTTCGAGTCATGTTTTTGACAAATTACATTTTGTCTAAGTACATTTTGAAATTTACATACCTTTAAACTTTCTTACATGAAATTCAAAAGTTCAATATGATTTATTGATTTGTCTTCCTTTTAGATGGTCCTGTTTTGCTAGGGATGGTAGAAATAGGGTGAGGGAATTATATCATAGTGTATAAACCGTAATGAGGCATAGTATGATTTTATCAGCTCATCATGGAATTCTCTACTTACAAAAGTAGGCAACACAGAGGATCTGCCTACACTTAGGTTTACAATATAATATTCTATTTCGAGGCCCTCTGTGCTTGTGGAGTTCATTTGATATGTTCTTCCTTCACAGCAAGCAGGCAAAGCTCTAAAAATATGACTGCCTTTGGCTTATCCTTCCCAGTAGGACTGTTCTGAATATAATATTTATAAATTATATACACAATCACCTATCTTCACTTCTTCCTAAAAGAAGATGAAGTGTAATAAGAAAAATGCATAAATGCAAACTTCCAGCCACAATAGTCACTTTTATCTGACAGTTTAAAGTGGAACCAGAGTTCAATGCCAAGTAGAGGAGGCTCGCTATTCATTCTCTGGGGAATAGTAAGGGCTAGTGTTTGGCAAAAGGGGCAGTGAAAAATGAAATACTATTAAACAGTTTAAAAGTGCTTTGCTTTATTAATTTTTGCTGATAATTTTATTAATATCACTACTAAATGTGTATGTCAAAAAAGAAGCTAATTTCAATTCTTGGAGAAAAAATATTCGTAAAGTAAATACAGTCGTCCCTCGGTATCCGTGCAGAATTGGATCCAGGACCTCCCAGATACCAACATCTGAGGATGCTTGAGTTCCTTATATAAAGTGGTGTAGAATGATGCGTATAGTCAGCCTTCCACATCCGCAGGTTCCAGTAGCAGATCAAAAATACTGTTTTTGATCCGCAGTTGGTTGAATCCATGGATGCAAAACTCGGGATATGGATGGACAACTGTATATCTATTGAAAGAAAAATTGCATATGAGTGGACCCGGGTAATTCAAACGTGTTGTTCAAGGGTCCACTGTAATATTATTTCTTCCACATGTAATTATTCAGTATTTTCCTATGAGCCAGGAGTGTGTTAGGTATTAGATTAGAAAACTAAATAAGAGAAACTTCCCTTTTTAAGGAATTCCTAACCTCATAGACATGGAATATAATTGAAACAGTTATAATTTACAAAGTGACGTGGAAACCTATGGTGGTCTCAGAGAGCTTGAAGGAAGAAGTGATATTTGAGTGTCGTCAGAAGAAGGAGAGAGCTCACCACCTTGGGGGTATGGAGGATCATCCCAAGTGAGGGGCCACCCTCCGAAAAGAAGAGTCGAGGTGAACTTGGGAGCTGTGAGGCTAGAGGGAACGTAGAGAGGCTACTTCCTGGGTTAATGAAGATGAAAAGGCCTGGGTGGCGAAGAGCTCTACATTAGAAAAACTCGCACTTTATTATGTGGACAATGGAGAGTCACCAGCAGAGTCTACACCGAATAAAAGGGGGCCTGAACTCTGACAAACCTCAAAATGTAACCCTAAGGCAAAGGGGGACGATACTGTTAAAAGAAACTTTCAAATGGGATAGGGTCAGAGACAGTGTCTAGGGAGAACAAAGCATGGAGCACTGCATTTCTGTCCTTGACCCTAAAATAAGCAGATTGGGACAATATAGCTTTCTTAAGGGCTCATCACCGGAGGGTCGACATCCTTCCTCCACAAAATGGTCAGCTTTCTCGATCCAGCCTCTAACTGGATCCCTCTTTGTTAACCTACTTAGAAACTTTTCTAGACATTTATGCTGCTAGTTATCAAGTTGCAATCACACCTTGTGCTCATTTTCAAACTTTCTCTGCATTATTTAAGGAAACGAGTCCAGGGCTCAGTCTTAATGGAACTGGATGAATGAAATAATATTTTTAATATTCTGATTAGATTATAACACATATCAAAAGGTGATAGTTCTTAAAAAAAACCAACCAAACAAACAAAAAATAACTTCTAAGTTCGATGATGAAAAGATCAACTGGCCAAAAGGAATTGGAATTAGCTAGCCATGGCATTCCTAAGTTAGAGTACTCCATCAGCTTCATATAAAAGCATTTCCATGCACTCCACCTGGTGAATTAATGCCTACAGGACACTCTGGTTCCCTCTGTTTAGACCAAACATGGCCAGGAGCGGTCTGATGAGCATCTCATACCTGTGCTGTCTTCATACACCACAGTCACTGTCTTCCAGTTGTAGTAAAGGACCAAATCCAGGATGGCCCTGCTGATAGCTGCATAATCTGGGTAGAGGTTGATGTAAAACAAGTCTTTGTTGTCCACCGAAGGGTGTTTCCAGCGGGTCTGGATGTGTGGAACTTCGAGAGCATTGCAAATAGACTGCACAGCACTGACCGAGGAACTGTGGGAAGGACCAAAGAGAGCAGCCACACCAAGAGCCAGCTGGTCACACGCTGATGCCCAAAGACGAGAAGGGGTTGGGAAGAGAGGGCAGGAAGGGGAAAGAGAAGGAGAGAGAGTTCCATGAATTTAATGTTTCCTTCCATGAATCCTCTTTTTAGTTTCACTATTGGAAACTTTCCTCCACTCTCTATCTGCATGTTTAATCCAACTTTCGGAATTCCTCGGACACTAAAACACCGAGAGATGTAAATGTGGAACTGATGAGCAACGAATCACAGGGCCACCTCCCTGCAAATGAAAATGAGTGGCTAGTCTCGCTTCATTACCTTTAGTCGGATGGAGTCTAAATTCCTTGCTGGGTATGCTGTTACCCAGGAGCACTCAGAGCTAGTCTACAAGCCACTTCCTCAGTGAACGCCATGTGAATGGAGTTGTGTCATATGCCGGGGTGACAGTGAAGATGTTAATGTGGTCATAGGACTGAGAAGACTCTCTGGGTGACTGTACAGTGCTTTAGATCCTGCCTTCCCACAACTCACATAGACGTCCCAGGATTACTGAAAAACTGCTAAAGAATGTTAAGTGATACTGATACCTAATTAATTAAAGAATAATAGAATAGCATAGCTTCAAGGGATCTTAGAAGACATTTTGTCCAACCCAGTAATATCATAGACAGTGGAGTACGTCAGGACCACTGGATAATAGCAGAGCTGTACCAGAGCCCAGGGACTCAGCTCAAGGTCAGGCCTTTCTTTAACTCAATAGCAGCCAACACGAAACCTTACAAAATCAAGTCAACATGTATTTAAAATTAATTTATAACATTTATTTTTCTCATTGTAAGGTTATGCACACTTATTGAGAGAATTTAGAATATTTGAAAGTGGAAGGAAGTGAAAAAGGCCATGTAATTCTATCGTATTGGGATAGCATCTATTTATATTTTGGTGATATATAAATATATATATAAAAGAATCATAGAGATGCAGTTTGATGCATTACTTGCTTTATTTAAAAATAAATTTAACACTGAAGAATGTCCTTTTCCCCAAATCATTTCAGTCTTCAAAATTATATTTTTATTGTTTTTAGAATAGCCCATTAAGTATGAATATGTCATCATTTATTCCTATGATATTGATTATTTAAGCTGCTCCTAATTTTATGCTGTTATAAGTAATATTATAGTAGTTATTTCAGTTCTTATATTTTTCTCTGAATTTTACATTGTAGTTTTAGAGTACATGTTCAGTTGTAATTAAAGGTTGTCGATATTTTTAAGTTACTCGATACAATTAATCAAATTCCCTTCTAGAAAGATTGGGACGTATTATATTCTACAAGCATGCAAAATTGTGCCTCCTTATTATATGCTAGCATAAATTTATGCTGGCATGAAATCTAAATTTAAAAGCATTTCAAATTTGTATTTTAATGCTAGTTTAAAGGAATTTGAAACTCCTGAGAGATATTTGAATATTTGAAAAAAAAGACAGCATATTTTATAAATGAAATTGTGTTAATATTCATAATGATGTCATTCTACAAATAAAAGTAAGTAGAAAAACTATATGGCTTAGAATCATCCAACTTGATTTAGAGAGAAAAATTAATAAAATTTTGAGAGCCAAATTCCAAATATCTATGGAGCAGCAAATGTTGACATTCACAAGGAAAGCTTTTGGCTCTTGGCATTGACTTACCACAGGAGATGTGAAGACATATAACTTTCTGCATTAAGTCCTGTAAGTTTAAGTTGCTATTATCCTTAGAAGCTCATTTGATGAATGTGTTTTCATTGGTTAGCAAGATAAAATGAGAGCATAGAATATACGAACTGTTGTTTTGTCTAACACGGGCAATGGATGGAGATTCCTGCTAATATTTAGCTCTGGGATGCTAATAGTACTTGACAGAAAATCAATCCTTTTGAATTCTGTTTGCCAGCAAATTACTAGTTTTAAGAAGCTTTGGGGGTGTTTAATTTACAAGTACTGGCAGGTACTTCAGATCATGAAAAAAGCTTTCGATTTTATGTGGGTTGAAGTATAATGGTTACATGTGGTTGGCTTTCTGAGGTATTTACTCACTGCTCTTGATGTGTGTGTGTGTGTGTGTGTGTGTGTGTGTGAGAGAGAGAGAGAGAGAGAGAGTCAGTCAGTCAGAGTCAGTCAGAGAGAGAGAGAGAAGTGGTGTGTGTGTGTGTGTGTGTGTGTGTGTGAGAGAGAGAGAGAGAGAGAGAGTCAGTCAGTCAGAGTCAGTCAGAGAGAGAGAGAGAAGTTAGAGATCTAACCCATAAGAGATAATTTATGTGAAGATGCCTTGTAAACTTTGAAATACTATATATAAATTTTGTATTTGTTCATAGACAGTTCTGACCTATATAGTAGCTGCAGCTCCATACATTTTTAAAAGAAAATTTTCTCGTTACTAAGATCATACCCTAGATAGAAAAAAAAATCATTATGCTATTTACTTTTTGTCTGTGCTACCAAGAAAACAAGTTTTACGTTTTGTTGTAAAGAAAACAAAAAAGAATTTTACAGAATGCATTAGGTGAACACATTCTACAATCTTAACTGGGTTGATTCTGTGTAGAAACAACCAGTGTTTAGTTACTTGGAAATCAGCATGAACATGGCGTTTGTTATATTTCTTTTATTTGGGGGTTTTTGTTGGATGAAGCTTTCCTCTATGGGGTGACGAGCACCCTTGTTTTCACACAAACGTCTCAACTTCTTCTTAGAGGCCAAGCTTCAAGCATATCAAATATGACGGTGCTCACGAAATCCCCTTGGAAGGGCCTAGGGAATGACTCAGGGAGCCCCACAATTCCACAACTCTCCCCATGAGACAAACCTTGCAGCCTACACATAAATTAGATGACATTTTAGAAACTTCTATGTTCAGAAGCAAAATAGAATCAAATGATCAAATGCAAAGGTTATTCTCATAGGTTTAATCTTCATTTTAATTTTTTTTTCCCCCAGTGGATATCTCTTCCCACCTGGAGCATGCACAGAGCTCAATGAACATCTTTAACCCCAAGTTTCCTGTTTTATTTATTTGTTTGTTGTTTTAATTGTATAATTCTATTTTTTTTCTTATTTTTTAACTTTTTTTTAATCAAGGTATAATTGACATAGAACATTATATCAGTTTCAGGTGTACAACTGAATAGTTCAGTATTTGTAATCGTCATAGTTTTACGATCTTGTGTGAGTTTAAAAAAAAAGTAGAGAAAATACTAGGTAAACCCAGTAGCTTACAACCCATTAAAATTCAGGGTGTGAGTTATGTGTGCCATGGGCATTTCCACACGCTCGGTGGATATGACCTTCCACAAAGTTTTATTTGACTGCACTGCACAATTTCATGGTGGTATCTCAGCCTTGGGAAGGAAAAACAGATCAAGCTTGACATTTTCCATTCACAGCTGAATCAGTTAATCACAGAGTACAGGGCACTGAAGGGTAAGATAATCAGAAAGGCCCACAACACAGAGCTGGGCCACATCCATTAGGACAGTTGAGATTGCTCTGGACAGTGACATCCGGTACCAACCCCGATTTCCTGCAACCCATTTGCACCAAGATGCCCACTTTGAAAAAGGGCATCAGAAAGAAGGTGACTTGTAGAGCAGATATATCACCCAAGGAAGCTTTTAAAAATGTGAAAATAGTTACCTCTCCGGGAGGCTTCGAAACTATCAAAAAGGTTAATTCTCTGGATGTCGTAGGTTAATGTGGTGTTGGGCATCAGGGTTCGGTTTCTGTTAATGCTGGTCACTGCGAACTTGAATGCTAATTCCTCAACATTAACAGGTTCGTTTTCCACAGTTTCAAAAATCCCTCCTGCAGAAGCAAAAGAGATGCATGAGAAGCATTAGTCACATTGTTCACACATTTTTTTTTTACAAAGAATAATATAAATTCAGACAAAAGGTCTAAAAGAATAAATGTAAGAAATATAGGCATGGTCAGAACATATTGTAAACAGAGTGTTAAAAGTTAAGTTCATCAGCATGTGTGACCTAATTTCATACATATGCACTGTATATTACCTCTGAGATGGCAAATGTATTCCCAATATTTAGTACCAAGGAAAATAGAACTGATGATATATGGTGAGGAGGGATTTTCTATAGTTTGAAGATGAATCACGCTCTGGTTGACTTAAGTATAATTTGAACTGTGTCCTGGTCCAACCATCCTTTCTTAAAATGAAGCTCTTTCTATTCAGAAACAGACATTCTAGACTCTAGAGGGATCATAGAGTTGAGTGGGGTCAAAATGAGACACACATACACTGAGAGCTCTTCTGTTCTTGGTGGCTCAGAATTCTGGGGTCATATTCTAGTACTTTCCAAAGTTCACGGGCTGATTTAAAGAACTGCTTTTTATTTTTTATTTTTTTGAGAAACTGTTTTGTTCTGCTCAAAAGCAACTCTTCCTTCTACCGCTGAAGTTACGTTCTTCCTCTGTACAAGAACACATGCACTGTCTGTGATATCTTAGCCATGAGGATCTCATCAAAAGCAAAATAGCAGTGCTTAAAGCCTCATCGGGGAATCCAGCTCTGAATTTGCTTGAAACATTGATGTTGATGGAACCATTTAAATATTATTAACTACACATTCTTAATATTCTTTAAGAGCTGTCTTGGATTATAAATAGACACGGGGCATACAGTAGAGGCTCTTAACTGGCCTCCATTTAACTTGATAGACCAATATTCCCAATTTCCTTTGAAAAACATATTAATTGGTGCCCATGGGATGCCAATACTTGTCAACTAGCAGATGGCTATTCCTATACTTTCTCCTATACCATTGAGTGATGCCTTATCAAAGGTCAGTTGTAGGTTTTTAGCGAACTCGTCTAGGCTAGATTGATTGACATGTGCCTTAAGTTTTCTACCCACTCAAAAAAAAAAAAAATGTGTGTGTGTGTGTGTGTGTGTGTGTATGTGTGTGTGTATATATATTTGTATATATGTAGAAAAAGAAAAATTTGAGACCAAAAATCAAAAATAAGCATTTATAGGCACAGGTATTATTTAGGTCTATCCTTTCTTAGAAAAGGAACTCCAATAGGCAGACTCTAATTGAAAGAAATTACTTCGATTCTACTTTGAAAGAATAATAAACAAATAATAAATATATTTACAATTTTTGAGTTAAAATTATTATTACTATTATTATTTGCAATGCCCTGCTCAACTGACTTTATTAAATAACCAGTTATAATTGTCAGATTGGGGAAACTAAGGAGGTTTATATAGAACTATTTTGCGCTTTTTGGAAATATCTCTTGCTTTCATAGACCAATGACAGATGTTCATATGGAGATCATTTTCATGTTCTCTGAGAAACTGGAGTTGAATGCTATGTGACCATGATACATGACCATGTTAACCTTTACCTATGCATCCATATTGAACATTTATTGTGAAATCACTGTTAGGAAAATTTTTACTCAAGTGATTTTGTCTTTTTCCTTTGTCACACAATTGTAAGCAGATCCTTGGTGGGTGGTGGAGGGGATCTTTCTGTTTCTCTCAGAACTGTTAGTGGATGCTCAACAGCAAGGTCATAAGCTCACATCATAGACTCTTGGTCACCAGAAGAAGATAGGTGTAGGCTGGGTTTACCACTACAATCAAGCTGTCTCAAGATCAGAACCTGGTGTTAGGACTTCCACAGTAATTATCTGCACTTATTTGTTTACTCGTTGTCTCCTGAGCACATGTTGAGAACCTTCACGAAGACAGACTGTGTCTTATTCAGAATCACCACCTTTACGGAGACCAAAATATCTTAAGATGTTCAGCTTCCAACTGTTTAGGGAAAAAGTCAATTACTGGCTCAGATGTGCACATCGTTAACTTGTGTGAGGCAGGCTGGTGGGAGGGAACTAATACCTGAATAGGAATCAAGAGGTTCTGAATTTTGGATCTTGGTCTACCTACTTACTCTTTGAGAAGGATTTTTAAGTACTAGAAAGAAAGTTACTATGAAAATCCTCTTTTACTGTAAATATTTCATTTAAGCCTTATTAAATTCCAAGTAGGAGGTAGTGTTCCTGTTTTAGAAATGAAAGATCACACATTTTGCCCAGCTTATTCAAAGTCTCACACACACACACACACACACACACACATTTCAACTTATTTCTGATATTATTCATCTCTAAATGTGGGCTAATATTGCCTCCTTTCTTGCCTTGGAGAATTGTTCTATAAAGGGAACAATGTAATGTAGTGTAAGTGCCCCGAAAACTCAATCGTTCCCCAGAAATAAATTATTATTACACATGGATAATGAGGATAAAAAGAGGAAATGCCATCTGTAGAACTGCCTATTCACGTCAATATTATTCCTTTGGTATGTAGTTTTTTACATAAAGCAGAATGGACCTGGGTTTAAGAGAATTTTAAGTCTTTTAATTATGTGCTTTGGCAGTATGTAGGGGAACTCTGCTCTGTTATTTTTAGGGGCATTTTCTTTCATTCCTTCACCAAGCAAGTCATTAACTCAACATCCCTCCACATTCTCCTTTTTTTTTTTTTTCCTCAGAGAAAGCTGCTGATAAATACCCCAAACCTGCAGTGAAGCGAAGTGTAGAGAGGGCTGGGAAAGTACCATTAAAGTGAAATCTCAGAAACAGGAGAAAGTTGCTGATAGGAGTACAGGTCACACAGCAGTCCCTTTAGACTGGATATGTGTGATACTGAGATTTATAATAAGAAACATGTATTTGGTCTTTGACCCAGTTTCTGGCACAGAGCTCTTAAAACCCTTGAAATTTACTGAGTGATAAGAGCAATAAAGGGTGTCTTTTGTTATGTTAATGGAGTGGCTTTTGGAAATCAGAGGAAGAGGGTGGGGTAGAAAAACCAAACATTTAGCCCCACCCCCTTGACTTCTAGGGAGGGAAGGGAAGAGGGGCTGGAGGTCGAATCCATTGCCAATGGCTGATGAGTTAATCAATCATGCCTGGGTAATGAAGCCTTCATAAACGCCCAAAAGGATGGGTTTCTGAGAACTTCCAGGTTGGTGAACACATCTTTGTACTATGAGGGTGATGCACCCCAATTCCAGGGAAACAGAAGCTCCTGTGCTCAGGGCCCACCCAGACCTAACCCTGTCTGTCTCTTCATCTGGCTGTTCATCTGTATCTTTAATCATATCCTTTCAAAAACCGGTAAACATAAACGAGTGTTTCCCTGAATTCTCTGAGCCACTCAAGCAAATAATTGAATGCAAGAGGAAGGAGGTCATGGGAACCTCTAATGTGTAGTCAAATCATACAGAACTGTGGGTAACCTGGGGGTCTACTACTTGTGGCTGGATCTGAATCGGGGAGGAGCAATTCCTTGTGGAATCTGACGCTATCTCTACGTGGATAGTGTCAGAAACGAGTTGAATTGTAAGACATCTAGCCTGCAGTATCATGGAGAATCGCTTGGTGTGGAAAACTCCCACATGTTTGGTGACCAGAAGAGTTGTGAGTGTGGTAGTCGTACTGTGAGAGTAAAAGAGAAACACAGCGGGGATTGGTTTTCCCAGCTCACCCTGGTTTCTGTGTTAAGAATGAACAGAAGGGAGGAGAAGGGCAAGAACGGAAGCAGAGACCTGCCACAGAGGCCCTGGCCATAACAGGCTATCTCGATAAGAGACAACTGAGGCAATCCAGGTGAGGGAAGATGGCCAGGTACAGATTAGTGATGTTGGGTTATGGCAAAAAGGGGCTAAATTCTAGATAAAACTTTATGGCAGAGGAACCAACTATAAGTAGGAAGAGAGTTTCAAGTATGACATCAAGTTTTTGGCCTGACATTGCAAAGGCGAAGAGAAAGTACAGGTGTTTGGTTTGGAGCACGATTAATCTTACGGTGCCTATTACAAATCCAAGTGGAGACGCCGACGAGGAGGTTAGATGCATTGCGGATCTCATGAGAGAGGTGTAATCTGGAGATAGAAATTTGAGTCATCACCATACAGGTGGAATTTAAAGCCATAAGACTGGTTGACATCACCCAGGGGCAAGTGTAGACAGGAAGGCAGAGATTGAGGTGACACAGTTGCAAACCGAGGGATGCTTAGAACCACCAGAAGCTGGAGGAAGCAGGGACTTGGATCTCCCCTAGAGCGTTTGGATGAAGCAGGACCGTGCTGACACCTGGATTGCTCAAACTTCTTGCCTTCAGTATTGTGAGAACAACTTTTCCTTCCTTTAAGCCACCCAGTTTGTGGTAATTCGTTACAGCAGCCACAGAAAACGAATACACTATCCCAGTTGTCTTAAGTCTTCATAGTGGCTGCTTTTAATTACCGTATCTTTTCCTCTTTGTAAAATGTTACTTTGTTCAGTACTTCAAATAACAACTTCTAGCTCTCTAACTTGATTTTGCAGATAAAGCAAGTAGTTGCGCCATGCAGCACATTGAAATTCTTCATTTATTACATTTTCCTATTTTGTCCTGAATATGGCATGACTAAGATATTATTGTTCTCATTCTAATAAACCTCACTAACTCTATGAACTAGCTGCTGGGTGTTCGTTGGGACAAACGGTGAGATCACACAGGAAGGGAGAGTAAAACTATTAGCTGACAATCAAGAAATGGAAAGCTTCAGTAGTGTTAACTCTTATTTTGCATTTCTGTGGCATAATGACTATTCCAGAAGCCATCAACAGAAAACGAGATGGCGATTTGATCAATTCCTTTGCTGATAGGAAATATATACCTTAAATATATATTATATTGTCTCTGTTTATTGCCATGTCCATAATTCTAACTTGTTATATCATTACTATATGTCATTATAGACTGGCCTATGCTATGCCCT